TTATGTTTTACTCTAATATTCCAAAACGTTTCAGGAATGATGACATTCTTACCGTCATTTATCTTATAAATAGAGTTTCTTAAAAAATTCACAACTTTCGTGCCACTTTAGTCATCTTGAGATCGTGCATTTCTAACAATGGGGTCTTCTCTACTTTAGATCACAAAATTTTTGGATGCACAACTTTTGTCCGGAAACAGCTTTAACTTTGAGTAAACTTAATCTTAGGTCCATATAATGTATTTTTCCTGAATACTCTGCCACTCAAAAGGGGATCGGTGCCTTGACTCTACCACTAATAAGGACTATATGAGTGCTCTCCTTTTTTGAAAGTGTTCCCCAATTTTCTAACTTGACCTCCAGTGAGGGGGAGTTAGAGCTCTTGGACAGTGTTCTTTACTCTACCCCTGTGGATGTTCCCCCCGTATCACCTACCATCGAGGAACCCTATGTTCCTTTGGTTCCACCCACTTCTTTTACCACCAAGGAGTCTTCTGTCCCTTTGGCCCCACTAGAACATCCTCCTGATATCCGTGTCTACACTCGACACACTTGTTATGATGCACCTACTCTGAAGCTCGCTAACCTCTTACTAGCCCCTGAATCCCCACTAGACGACATCCCTAGCATTGCTCCTCCAAATGAGGAAGTCAGTTCCTCTAGTAAGGTACACAATCAGACAAACTCTTTCTAACCCATGACAAACTATGTCTCTCTTCGAGATCATCGCTAACTTACAAAGCATTTGCTACTGCTCTGATCAATCATCAACTTCCATCTACTATTGAGACTGTTTTAGAAAACCCAGTCTGGAAAGCTACCATCATGGAGGAGATGAATGACCTTAAGCGGAACCATACTTGGGACATTGTTGATCTTCTTTTGGGCAAGAAAGCAGTGGGATGTCTAATACATCAAAATAATGTGTTGTTTTAAGTATACATTTAATGCTTATTTTTTGTGATATTGCACTTTAAAAAAACGTATTTTTCTGTTCTTGGTATATCAATTTTAGGGTCTTTTGGAGCAAAAATAACAAAAATGATGAAATTTGAAGCCAAAACAGCGAATTTTGTGATTCTGGCACCTGAAGTGTCACTTTACAGAGAGCTGACGCGTGAAGCGTCAGAATTGGCGCCTGAAGCGCCATTTTACAGAGAGTTGGCGTTTGAGGTGCCAAAACTCAGAACAACGCTGTCTTAAGCAACTTGGCGCCTGAAGCGCCAAAGACAGCTTTTTATGAATTAAGGCGGTTCAGGACGAACTTTGCGTGAATTTTAAAACTTGTTCTAAACCCCCCATGGAGTGATTCAATGCATCTAGTCACTTTGGAAGGTTCTTTTATGAATGTCTCTTAGGTCAATAGACATACCTTTTGGAATTTAAAAGGGTTGACTTTTGGATAGAATTTTGGAGTGAATTTTGAATTCTTTTTGTGAATTTTGAATTCAGTGAATTTTGAATTCTTTTTGGAGGGAGGCATCCTCTAATAAAAGAGAGGGAGGTCTAGGGCATGAGTGAGGCGTGAAGGGTGGGTCGCAAGAGGCAATTGAGGCGTGAGAGTGAGAGGAAGGCTTTGGATAAGAGATGATTTTCTTCTAGAGTTGTAAGAGGAGAAGGAATGTGAGAGATTTCTTCTTCATTACATTTTTAGAAAAGAATTGAGTGTGATTGTAAAGAGGAAAAGAGCTTAAAAGGAACTTCTAGGGATTTGCTTGGGAATGAGTGTGAGATAAGTTGTGTTATTTTTTTTCATTGTTTTGTAAACTTATTTTTATATATGAAATCCGTGTTTTGTCGTATCCATCTCATGAATTCTGAGTACTCTTCTTTATCTTTCTCCCTACAATGAGATTTGGTTTTGTGAAGAATTGATTTTGTTTTATACGGTTTTAAATGTCAACAATTTGTGATGATTCAAACTCTGTTCTTTATTTATTTTTTCGATTTGACCAATTAAAATATTAAAATTTATTGAGAAACATAAGATCCGAAAGGGCTATGTTTTCTACAACATGGTGAGAGTCACATTCAATTCCATGGGTGAAGATGTTATCAATGGGGTTGAATGTAGATAAATAGGGAAATAAACTTTGTTGGATGCAGAATTAAAGATTTTAAGGTGACAGATTAAAATCCCAATCGGTGACAGATTAAAATCCCCAATTTGGTTCAGTTGATTGAAAACTAATGCGAGATTGTTAACCCCCAAACGAGGGAGAAGTGAGAGCTTTGGAGTGATAGCGGGTATCCTCCCAACCTTACCACAGAATTAAGATTCAAATTCTTGATTAGTCAATGTTTTTTATGCACTTGACAGAGGGAAAAAATATGATTGTTCTTATTTGACACAATACATTTTTATATAATTATAAATGATTTTAATTACTTCACTAACCATAAACTCATTGTAAAGGGGAATAATGCTTTCTTAAATTTGAACACTTCGTCACAAAATTTTGTTTAGTCTTAGTAAATTTAACTTTGAAGTTTAGAAATTAGTTTAGTAAACATAGTTATTTTAGTTACATTTTTGTTAGCATTCATTAAACCCATTTTAACTTGTCCTTACTTTAATTTTTATAGTTTGAATATTGTGATTTATGTTATTATCATAAGAATTTTCATCTTCCAAACTAAAACTTGATTGTAGTAGACTAGAATTAGCCTAATGAATTTCTTACTGTGCTTCTCTGTGGGATCGATGTTGGGTTTTTAAAGAAAATACTATATTACTTGAAGCGATACGTGCACTTGCCTAGAAACACTCGTGTATGAACTATTTTATATATCTTATAACATTTTGATTTTGCACATTAACTACTTAATATAAATTGGGTCAAGTTTTTTGTCATATTCTTAAAGCTAAATTACTTCGTAATTTCTAGACATGTCAAGTTTTTGACACTATTATCAGAGGTTTAAATTAACTTAAAACACGCAGAAAAACAACACACACTAGGGGCGCATCAATGTCGATAGATTTTTAACATCAAGTTTAAATCTGATGGATTCTTAGAACGCGACAAGACATGTTTGGTCGCCAAAGGGTACTCACGCACCTATGAAGTTGACTATGAGGACTTATTTGCTTCAGTTGCTAATCTAAATACCATATGTGTCCTCTTATCCCTAGTAGTGAATCTAGATTGGCCTTATTCCCAACTTGATGTCAACAATGCGTTCCTTAATGACGATCTTACAAAGATTGTATACATGACTCTTTCTCCAGGCTTTGACTCCACTGCCTCCCAGGGGCAATTATGTAGACTGCAAAAATCCCTCTATGGATTGAAGCACTCACCACGGACATTGATCGGGAAATTCAGAAAGGTGGTAATAGGCCATAGATTCACTCCGACTCATTCAAACCCCACTCTTCTGACATCCCTCCAGCGGCCAGGTAACTGTCGTTATTTTTTATGTTAATGACATTGTTCTCTAGATAATGATCTACCAGTATTGGAGTCTCTGAAAGGCATTCTTGTTGTTTTCTTTGAAATTAAGGACTTCGGATCTCTTCGGTACTTCTTAGGCATGAAAGTTGTTCGGTCATCTCAGGTTATTTGTCTGTCTCAGTGAAAATATGTGATTAATCTTTTGACAGAGAACATTCTTCTCCTATGCAAACTAGTGATTGTCTCGATGGATCCCAATGAAAAGCTTGATGTTCCCAATGTAGTTCTTGTAAACAAGACCCACTGCCAGCTCTTTGTGGGGATATTCATCTACCTTGCTCGTACACACCCCAACATATGCCAGACAGCTGGGATAGTCAGTCAATTTATGCTTGATCCATATGAGCACCACCTTCAAGTCGTCTACCGAATTCTCCACTATTTAAAAGACACACCAGAATCGGGTTTGTTTTTTTTTTTCCACCATAACTCTCGTTCTATAGCATTTACACAGATGCAGATTGGGTTTGGTCTGTCCATGATCGGCGATCTACCTCAGGTTTTTGCTCATTTGTGTGAGCAAACCTGATCACGTTTAAAAGCAAGAAACAATTTGTAGTTCTCAGAGCAGTGTCGAAGCTGAATTTTTATCCATGTCCCTGAGAATTTGTGAAGCTCTCTGGTTACACATCATGCTCCTCGAACTATGTATAGCAGTATCCGCTCTCCTACAGTTGTTCTGTAATAATAAGGTTGTCATTAACATTGCTCACAAACCAGTCCAACATAATCGCACCAAGCATGTTGTGATTGACCGTCACTTCATTAAAGAAAAACTCGAGTCTAGAGAAATTTGTGTTTCGTTTGTGTCATCTAGTGGCCAAATGGTAGATATTTTCACAAAGAACCTTCCTCAGCCACTATTTGATGATTTGAAATCCAAGTCGAACATGACTGACATCTATGCTTCAACTTGAGTGGGAGTATTAGAATATTAGAATATTAATTTGCAAATTTTTGTATTAATTGCTTTGATTTGTTTTTATTTACTTTTCTTTTTCCCTTAATTCTGTTTTTATTTATTTCCTTACTAGTAGATCTGGTAATGAGTATTTATATCCCTCTTTGCATCAATAAAAATTTCCTTAGGTTCTATTCTAGCAGTCTTGATGGGTTTTCTATCTATTAGATTTGCTCTGGGATGAGTGCAATATTAAAGTTGACTAATTAGATCGGTATTACACTTATCTTGAAATAAATTTAATGGTGTAAAACTACAACTAAATTTTCCCTTTTAGTATAATCTCATATATCGAATTCAGTTGGTTTCAAGCTATTCTTCTTTACTTTAGTTCAAGTACTTTTGCAGTAGGAACATTAATAAGATGCATTTATTGTCATATTTTATGTTTGAGGTTATGCTACCTTCATACTTTATATATGTACTAAATCAAAAACCTTTTGTTTAAGAATTTCTTTTTTCTCATTTGCCCTGATAGTCCCTCCCGATTTTTGTTTTTTTTTTCTTTCTACATTTCATCTTATGATGCTTATTTATGCTTCTGTGGTAATTTATTCAAAACTTCATCCCTTTTCTTTCAGAACGAACATGATCCATCCAAGCTTGTGGCAGAGACACCATGCAAACTGCTTCGTTTTTTAGTTGCAGATGGTACGCATCTCGATGCCGATACACCTTATGCCGAGGTTGAGGTTATGAAAATGTGCATGCCGTTGTTGTTGCCTGCTTCTGGGGTTATTCATTTTGTATTGTCTGAAGGCCAGGCCATGCAGGTAAAGTTTGTTTTTGCTGATTAGTATAACATTTTTGGCCCAGTTTAGCAAGCTTTTTTGACAGTATAGTAAAATATTTCTTCTCCAGGCTGGAGATCTTATAGCAAATTTGGACCTTGATGATCCATCTGCTGTGAAGAGAGCTGAACCGTTTCACGGGACCTTCCCAAAGCTCGGCCCTCCAACTGCAGTTTCTGATAAAGTTCATCAAAGGTGTGCTGCAAGTTTAAATGCTGCAAGAATGATTCTTGCTGGCTATGAGCATAACATCACTCAAGTAAGATTCTCAACTGCAAGAAGAGAATTCTAGTACATTGAAGTAATTTATTCTTTCTATGGGAACTCTTTAATTTGTTCTCTCATAAGATTAGCCGAAACAACCTTCATTTGATTGCCAAATAATTGAAAATTCATATGCTTTAGTATCATTAGAGTTGATGTTGATCTGATATTTTTTAAGAGGAAATGTATTTCTAATTGATTAAAGATTTTTCAAAGGTACCTTGGTGCTTACTACTTACTAATAAAAACCTGTATCAAATTATTTGGCAATCAAATGAAATTTGATCAACATCAAATTAAACATCCCTCATCTTCCAAAACTTTCCTCCATTATTAAAATTTGATAAGGGATGTCAAATTAAACATCCCTCATACTACTTACTAAAAATTTGATAAGGGATGTTTAATCAAATTTCATTTGATTGCCAAATAATTGAAAATTCATATGCGTTAGTATCATTAGAATTGATGTTGACCTGATATTTTTTAAGAGGAAATGTATTTCTAATTGATTAAAGGTTTTTCAAAGGTACCTTGGTGCATACTACTTACTAATAAAAACCTGTATTAGTAGGCGAGTTTTCTTCTAAATAAAGTTAAAAATTTGAATAATGGAGGAAAGTTTTGGAAGATTAGGAATGTTTAATGGAAGGGATTTTCTTATTATTCACTGAATATGTTACCAATCTAGTAGGTGTGTGTAGTAAGATTAGGCTAGCTGGAAATTGGCATGCACAAGAAAGAGGGAGTTGCTAAGGTTGGAAATGAAGCAGTAGTGGAACTGGTGATTGGATTAATCAGGTAGGCTATTTAAATTGTCCTTCTTTGATACCATGATGCAATATTGAGAAGAAAGATATTTGTGTTTTATTAATTGAATATGTGAGACCTATAAAAAGGTAGACATGATGATACATTAAGGAAACAGTACAAGAGCATAATACCCTCAATTGTAAGGATATTAAATTAAATCTAATGACTTTCTAATATTAATATTCTTACATATTCTATCTATTCTTTTTAATATGTCAACAAGAGGCTTAATACGGCATAACTTGGATGTAAATTACAAATTATAGTCAATGCTATTAAAATATGAAGTGATATTTACGTGTGATAGGTTCATTGAGTCTCTTACTTATATTTAAAAAATTAAGATTTGTATGAATGAGGATAAAACTTTTAAACAAAAATTTGTGGTTTATAGAGAGCCATTCAAATTGGCTATAAAATTTCCTTATACAAGCTCAATAAATCAATGTAAAATTCACTGTAAAATAAGGATTTTTGAGAGACGATTATCTGAATGACATCTTGGTTATTGGCATCAAGCTAAAATAAGGTAATGAAATAAAGACTTGATGGTTAATACATCGTTGACAAAGAGTAAAAGGTGCACCAATAAAACTCGTAGATAGCATTAGTGTGACGAGATTAGAGCGGAAAGTGGCCAATTAATGGTATATGATTAGAAGTGTTGCCGAAGGACTTGTTTAATATTTAGTTCACAATTAATTTATATCTCGAGAGGAATCAATGAAGGAGATTTCATAAAGCCGGCCGAAATAGTTGGACATGGATGATGATGTTAACCATTATAGTTTTGGGGAAGGCTTTCTTTTGGAACTTGTTTCTTAATGCCAATCGCGTCAGCTTCTCTTGAAGCTGACAGAATTAGCAGTTCTTCCTGAAAATGTAATATTTTATGAAACAACATAAACATATTGATCTTTTAACTACTTTGGTAAAACATTTAGTTCCATCACTTTTACTGATTAAATATGGTTGTCAATGAGAATCGGTCTTATGAGAACTGAAATGTGACAATGGAAATAGTTTGATTTTCTAAAATTTTTGCAAATATTATGAGCTGTGCCACTCTGCTGATTGATGTTTTGATCCTCTTTGATTTCCGATCATTTTACTTTTTCATTAATCAGGTTGTGCAAGATCTACTAAACAGCCTGGACAGTCCGGAGCTTCCCTTCCTACAGTGGCAAGAAAGTATGTCAGTATTGGCCACTCGCCTTCCAAAAGATCTAAAAAATGAGGTTTTTCTTACGAAACTATAACTTATATTCTTTCTTTTATCTGTTTCTTTCAGTTATGCTTTGTGTTTAACTGTTTCCTGAAGTAAAGTTTTCCTCATGAACTGCACTTCCAGTTGGATGCCAAATACAAGGGGTATGAGACAGTTTCAAGCTATCAAAAAAACATTGAGTTCCCTGCCAAGTTACTGAGGGGAGTAATTGAGGTACAGGATCATTCAGTGATGTCATTCTTTATTATTATTATTATTATTAAATTTTTGGAAGATATACATACATACCGCTCTATTTCTATACATTTACATATCTAACACCTGAACTTCAGTTTTCACGTACATAGCGCATTGCCTACGCATGAAAAGGTGTATTTCACTTTTTAAAACTTAAAATGGTGGTCTTTTTGATGTGATATAAAAGATTTGGGTGGTATTAATGTAAAAAGTAAAATTTAAATGTTAGATATCTAAATACATAGAAATTGGGTATGTATGTAAATGCCTCTAATTTTTTTTTCTTAAATTATCTACCCCACAGGCTCACCTCACTTCCTGCTCTGAGAAAGAAAAGGCCGCACTGGAGAGGCTTGTGGAACCTCTAATGAGTCTTGTAAAGTCACATGCAGGTGGTAGAGAGAGTCATGCACGTGTAATTGTCCAATCTCTATTTGAAGAATATCTCTCTGTTGAAGAATTATTCAGTGATACCATCCAGGTGCTTGCTCTTGTTAAGCTCTTTTATCATTTTAATGTATATTGTAAATAGTTTTGATTGCTTTGATAGAGTATTCTTATGTATTTTCCCCACTTTTCTTTAGGCCGATGTCATTGAGCGCCTCCGATTGCAGTACAAGAAAGATCTACTAAAAATTGTGGACATAGTTCTTTCTCGTCAGGTATGACTGGGCTACTTTTGCTACTCTGCTAAAAAAAACACTAGGCTAAAAAAAACACTAGGCTAATTTTAGCTGCTCATATTTATGCTATTTATATAAGTGTTAACCACCAATTTATGTTAATTTGATTATTTCCTCATTTTATTGCAGGGTGTAAGGAGTAAGAATAAGCTAATATTAAGGCTTATGGAGGCATTGGTTTATCCTAACCCTGCTGCGTATAGGGATCAGCTAATTCGTTTTTCTGCTCTTAATCACACCACCTACTCTGAGGTCCGGAATCCCATTACTATAATTATTAACTCTCATTTTCTTTTTTCTTTCTTTTCAAGCTTTTGATTGCAGTGTTGTATGAACTCTTTTCAATATTGCAGCTTGTACTGAAAGCAAGTCAACTTCTAGAGCAAACAAAACTGAGTGAACTCCGCACGAGCATTGCCAGAAGCCTTTCGGAGCTTGAGATGTTTACTGAAGAAGGGGAGCGTGTGTCTACTCCAAGAAGAAAACACGCCATTAATGAAAGGATGGAGGATCTTGTCGGTGCTCCGTTGGCTGTCGAGGATGCTCTTGTGTCTCTATTCGATCACAGTGATCCCACACTTCAGAGGAGAGTTGTTGAAACATACATTCGCAGACTCTATCAGGTAGCTGTAAATTCTAGTCCTTTCTCTTCTTCTCCCATTGAAGCTCTGCGCAACGCTCTTCTTCGTCTTTTTTGTTTCCTTTTTTTAGTTGTATTGAATTTACTGTGCATCTTTTCAGCCCTATCTTGTGAAGGGTAGCATTCGCATGCAATGGCACAGATCTGGCCTTATTGCTTTATGGAAATTTTCTGAAGAGCATATAGAGAAAAAAAATGGAGCTGAGGATGCCATGCCGGATAAACCTTTATTAGAGAAGCATCGTGAGAATAGATGGGGGGCCATGGTGATCATCAAATCTCTCCAGTTCTTACAAGCTGCAATCAGTGCTGCACTGAAGGAATCTACGAGTTCTTTAAATTCTGAAGGCGATGATGAACTGATTTCGAGGGACCTTTTAGATAAAGCTAGTCATGGCAATATGCTGCATGTTGCATTGGTTGGTATTAACAACCAAATGAGCTCACTTCAGGATAGGTGCGTTACCCCTTTTTATAAAATATATTTATCTGGATTACTGAGGATGCCTTTTTTTCACGAATAAATTATCATACTGCCTAATTTAACTTTTTGCAGTGGTGATGAAGATCAGGCCCAGGAGAGGATACATAAGCTTGCAAAAATTTTGAAGGAGGAAAGTGTCAGTCTTGATCTCAGGGATGCAGGGATTAGGTTTATTAGTTGTATCATACAGAGGGATGAAGGGCGAGCACCGATGCGTCATTCTTTCCATTGGTCATCAGAGAATCTCTATTATGATGAAGAACCTCAACTTCGGCACTTGGAGCCTCCTCTCTCTACCTTTCTTGAATTGGTTTGTGGCGTGTTTAGCCTTTTCATGCCCTTATGTTTTCTCTATCCTTTGTTCCAGTATGTTCATCTTTCTAGTTCCTTCTTTAGGACAAACTCAAAGGCTACAAAAAAGTACAGTATACGCCATCCCGAGATCGACAGTGGCACCTATTTACTGTTCTTGATGGCATTGCACCGATTAAAAGGATGTTTCTTCGGACGATTGTCAGACAACCAAGCACAACTGATGGGTTTTTGCTAGGTCCGGTGCTTGATGTTGAGATGGTTCAGGCAAAGCAGTCGATGTCCTTTACATCAATCTGTATATTAAGGTCAATATCGGCAGCGCTTGAGGAATTAGAACTAAATGTGCATAATGCAAATATCCGGTCAGAACATTCTCACATGTATCTCTGCGTGTTGAGAGAGCAGCAGCTTTATGATCTTGTGTCATTTGCAAGGTCAGTATTTTATCCATCATCTTGATTGATTTACTATGTACACACAACTCCTCAATGTTTAGTAGATGAATCTGATATAGCGGTACAGTGACAACATATAACATCTATCTTTTGTCGTTAGAACTTTTGATGAGGCTTCCGGGCAAGAGGATCTTGTAGTGTGCTCGATCTTGGAGGAATTGGCTCATGAAGTTCATGAATTGGTTGGCGTGCGTATGCATCGTCTGGCCGTTTGTGAGTGGGAAGTCAAGCTTTTGCTGGCTGCCGATGGACCTGCTCGTGGTGCTTGGCGGATTGTAGTCACCAATGTTACCGGTCACACTTGCACTGTGCATGTGCGTAAGGGCTCTATAACATCTACTTTCTCCTCCATTTTTGATTTTGACTCGACTTCTTTACTCCTATTGTAGATCTACCGAGAAGTGGAGGACAGCAAAACACATGAAGTTGTGTACCATTCTGCCTCTTCATTGTTTGGTCCTCTGCATGGTGTGCCTCTGAGTGCTTTGTATCAGCCTTTAGGTGTCATTGATAGAAGGCGTTTGTTAGCAAGAAGAAACAACACAACTTACTGTTATGACTTTCCACTGGTAAAGTACTTTTTTAACTGGATTAAATGATTTGTTTTTTCAGTACATTGCTGGAAACATTTAATCTGTGAACTTATTTTGAAGATTTTGTTTGTTGCAGGCTTTTGAAACAGCTCTTCGGAAGTCTTGGGCTTCTAATTCATCGGGTGAGAAGGTAGGAAAAGGATGCGAAGACCTACTTAAGATCAGAGAGCTTGTATTTGCTGACAAAAATGGAGCTTGGGACACTCCCCTTGTTCCTGTGGACCGCTCTCCTGGTCTCAATGATGTGGGCATGATCGCATGGTTCATGGAGATACTAACTCCAGAATTCCCAGATGGAAGGAAGATCATTGTTGTCGCAAATGATGTAACTTACCAGGCAGGGTCATTTGGTCCAAAAGAAGATGCTTTCTTCTATAGTGTAACCAACCTGGCTTGCAAGTTGAAGCTTCCTTTGATTTATCTTGCTGCAAACTCCGGTGCTAGGATTGGAGCCGCAGAAGAAGTTCGATCTTGCTTTCGTGTTGCTTGGTCTGATGAGCTCAATCCTGAACGTGGATTCCAATATATTTATCTCACACCGGAAGATTACTCTCGTATTCAATCCTCTGTCATCGCACATCAGCTGAAACTCGATAGTGGTGAGACCAGATGGGTTGTAGACACCATTGTTGGAAAACAAGATGGGTTGGGAGTTGAGAATCTTGCTGGAAGTGGCGCCATTGCTAGTGCTTATTCAAAGGCATACAAGGAAACCTTCACTTTGACTTTTGTCACCGGACGTACTGTCGGTATTGGAGCTTATCTGGCACGGCTTGGCATGAGGTGCATCCAGCGTCTTGACCATCCAATCATTCTAACCGGCTTCTCTGCCCTGAATAAACTTCTTGGCCGTGAAGTCTACAGTTCCCACATGCAGCTTGGTGGCCCAAAAATAATGGCGACAAATGGGGTCGTTCATCTGACGGTTCCTGATGATCTTCAGGGTGTTTCAGCAATCCTCAAGTGGCTCAGCTATGTTCCTCCTTATGTTGGGGGACCTCTTCCTATATCAGGTTCGTTGGACCCGCCACTGAGACCAGTGGAATACACACCTGAGAACTTGTGTGACCCTCGTGCCACCATCAGCGGGATAAAGGATGGCAGCGGTAAGTGGTTAGGTGGGATCTTTGACAAAGATAGCTTTGTTGAAACACTCGAAGGTTGGGCCAAGACGGTGGTCACCGGGAGAGCAAAGCTGGGCGGAATTCCTGTTGGGGTTATTGCAGTAGAGACTCAGACTGTTATGCAAGTCATCCCTGCTGATCCTGGCCAACTTGACTCACATGAAAGAGTCGTGCCTCAAGCCGGGCAAGTCTGGTTCCCTGATTCTGCCACCAAGACTGCACAGGCATTGATGGACTTCAACAGGGAGGAGCTGCCCCTCTTCATCCTTGCAAATTGGAGAGGCTTTTCAGGCGGACAAAGGGACCTCTTTGAAGGTATTTTGCAGGCAGGTTCCACCATTGTTGAGAACTTGAGGACTTACAAGCAACCAGCCTTTGTTTACATCCCTATGATGGCGGAACTCCGCGGCGGAGCCTGGGTTGTGGTGGACAGCAAGATCAATCCAGAACAGATTGAGATGTATGCCGAAAGAACTGCCAAGGGAAATGTGCTTGAACCTGAAGGGATGATTGAGATCAAGTTCAGGCCGAAAGAGATTTTGGATTGCATGGGGAGGCTCGATCAAGAGCTGATCTCTCTTAAAACAAAGCTTCAAGAGGCCAAGTTGGGAAGTGCAGGCCGTGAGTCTGTGGATTCCCTTCAGAAGAGTATTTCTGCTCGCGAGAAACAACTCCTGCCTGTTTACACTCAGATAGCTACGAAGTTTGCAGAATTACATGATACTTCTCTGCGAATGGCTGCGAAGGGCGTGGTCAAAGAGGTGGTTGACTGGAAGGGCTCGCGAGCTTTCTTCTATAAGAGATTGAGCAGGAGAGTGTCCGAGCGGTCGCTTATAAAATCGGTGATGGATGCTTCAGGGGAGGAATTGTCAAACCAGTCTGCACTTGAGCTCATCAAGAGTTGGGTCTCGGCTTCTGGGGTGAACTGGGAGGATGATGGAGCTTTCTCTGCTTGGAAAAATGATCCTCTGAACTATGAAAATCATCTGAAACAGCTGAGAGCTAAGAAAATATTTTCTCAGCTCTCCAGCCTTGGAGAATCATCTTCATCTGACCTGGAAGCTCTTAAGCAAGGTCTTCATGTCCTTCTCTCCAAGGTAAGCAGAAGCATCCATTTTTACTTGCTTATGACAAAAGAGCACTGTAGATATAACTTGAAACTGTACTGATGATTTTATTCCTGAATCTGATGCAGGTTGAGCCTTCGAGTCGAGCAGAGTTGATAGAGGAATTTCAGAAATTAGCTGGCTGATTAAACTTGATATGAAATTGAATTTATTTTGGTATGTATGAAATAATTCATTTAGAGCAGATAGCTTAAGATTTCTTGCTGAATGGTGAAAGTGCTTGGGATAGTTCTTCCTTGGCAACAGGGAAGCAAGTTTCTTTACATATACATCTCTTGTTGTTCAATATTTGAAGTTAGGGATTAGGCGGTAGGTAATGTTGTATTGATCTCTGTTCATCTTGATGAGATGATTGAGATCAATGAGTTTGTATTTATGAAACAATTATTTCCACTAAATGTTAAGACTAAATGTTAAGATTAGTGCAAGTTTTATTTTTTAGTTCCACGTTATTCAAAGTTCTGTGGTAGGTGAACAAAATCCGACCCTAATATTTCATCCCCCCTCTTTTTAATTGTTTCTCAAATAATGAAATTCATAATAAAATCCTAATCAATATTAATTTATTTTTTATCAAATCCTAATGATTTGATCGTAGCACACTGTTGACAAATTAGAGCAAAGAAACGCAAGAATCAAGAACCAATCAATCAAGAAAGAACACAAGAATTTAACGAAGTTCGGCAATATTTCTACGTCCTTGGGAGCAATGAGCGGCGGCGGCGGCTTTTTGATTTCTTGAAAATAGTGCATACCCCTTGGGGTTACAAACACACACACACACACACACACACACACACACACATATACATATACATATTCATATACATATACATACATATATACATACATACATATATAGTAATTACAAAATTAACTTGTATCATGAGAATTTTCCTCTGCATTCTGTTTCCTCTCCACTCCGCTCCAGCATCTGTCCTTTATTTGGTATATGAGTCATAACTAACACGCACACAAACACACGGTTAGCTAATTCAATAAAATGACCAGAGTCGTCATTTTGTAAATAGCAATGTTTCGAGTGGTTTGTAATATTGCTTTCGAGTAGAACATGAGAGCAGTTTGACTATCATACCATAACAAAGAATTTGATATTAGTATGCTTAGGTTATGTTTGTGATAGTTATTTAACTGCTTTACACCACAGTTCTATTTGGAGAGGTGCTTTTGTATTGTTTTTTAGAAATTTTTATGCTGAGAAGTTTGTTTGATTATTTATATATATTTATTTCAGCACAGTTTTCTAAGAAATTATTTTCTCCACTATAGTTTTACAATCATTTTTATAAAAAATTTCTGCCAACCCAAATAGATCTTTGGTACGAAAATTCCCAACTCTTTGTTATGCATTCATTGATCACATGTTTTATGTGATTAATATTAGAAAATATTATAAAAGAATGGTTCCTTACATGAGTGTTCAATTGAACAAGAAAAACTGTGCAAGATGATAGAAATAAAATTTGGGTAAGGATTATGATAATTTAATAGTCACTTATTTTAAGATAAGTATATCATATAATTAATTTTGAAAAAGGTTATGTTATATTCTTCTTAAAATAAATTTAATTGTTATAATGTCCATGCGTGATTAGTTTTGTTTTATATTTCAGACCAACAAAGAAGTAATGTTTTAGAACAAATATTTTTAGAGAAGGCATTAAGAAGCTTATTATGAAATTAATGTGATGTACAATAAAAAAATAAAGAGAATAATATGCAAATTAACGTAGAATATTCAAAATAGTAAAAATCTTTCATATTTCATTACATTTCCACAACAATTTAGCTACGTTTATAAAAAAAATTTATTTATATAAATTATGCAACATGTGCATTCCACAAAGTATGGTGGGTTCTGGCATTATTCACACTTTTGGATAAAGATTCAATCAATCTCAGAACCCACAAAACTTTAATCAATGCGCAATTACATAAAATGAAATTGATACCCCACTCAATAGCTTTAATCACACTCATACTGCAGCCTCCTCTGCTCTTTCTTCTTCACACCATCTTCCTCTAAACCCATTCTTCACAGAAACCATGATCTGTAGAACAAATAAATGATGTTTCTTTGGTTCCACTTTAAGCTTCTTCACTCACTTTAGGAGAGCAGCTCCTTACAGCTTCGCCGACCGTCAGGAAGATCTTGTCATGGCCTATCAACTCCCTAAACATTGAAGCTTGGAGCTTTCCCATGACAACTGGCCCGGGATTCGCGAGAAGAAGCTTCACAATATAAAAGAAATTTCATGGATTTCTTTTTTGAATAGGCTGAAGGGATATATTCATCTTATTTGTTTAACATAAACGATTAGCTTATAACCAACCTGAATCTCTCTCTTGTTAAGGTTCTTATACAGCTCCTCAAGAGCATGAATGCCACTGGTATCTATATCAGTTACAGCTGCAAAGAGAATGGATAATCAGTGTCTATATATTGCTGAAGGTAGAAGAGAGTGAAGTTTCATCTTACGTGACATTTCAACAATCAAGAAATCAATTCGAGGTAGGCTCTTCTCCTTCAGCTTTTCTTCCTCTTCTCTTAACCACCTAAGGATCCTGCAATTTAGAATTTCATTAGTCCATTTCCTTAGTATGTTCGACCAAATTGACAATTTTGGTGAATAAAAAGTGTTGTTTGTACCTTTCCTTCACATAGTTGGAGTTGGAAAAATAGATAGCAGAATCAACTCTGACAATAAGAACTCCAGGAACTTTGGTTGCCTCGGAGTATTGTTCGATGTTACGGTACACGGTAGTCCCTGGAAGATTGCCTAGTAAAGCAGTTCTCGGCCTTGTGACTTGTAAAAGAATCTTAGCAAATGATATTGAGACCTACATGAATAATCATGACATGATTATAAAAGAAACTAATGTCTTTCAAGTTTTGTAACAACAATTAACTGTTTAATATATATGAATCCTTACTGCAATCAAAAGTCCGATCTCAACATTAGCAAAAACTACACCGAAGAATGCTCCCATGCAAGCTATAAAATCTAACTTGTCTATCTTCCAGATTAGAATAGCCGCGTCGAAATCAATTAGTCCGATCACGGCGCTGATAATGATGGAAGAAAGAATTGCATTTGGAGTGTATTTGAAGAGTGGGGTTATCAATTCCAGTGTTAGTAATATTATCATTGACATAACAATATTTGACACTGCTGTTTGACATCCAGCCATATTGTTGACGGCGGATCGAGAAAACGAACCTATTATGAAGAAGAAGAAACTTCTGCATCATTTTATATTCTTGAATAACTCAAGATTTAGATTTGTTGATTAAATTAAGTTGCTTTTATTTCTAAAATTACCTGTGGCTATAAAGCATGAAGCCATGGATCCAACAATGTTCATAGTTCCAAGGGCTACCATTTCTTTGTTTCCATCCAACTGATAGTCCTTCATGTCAGCAAATGTTCTTCCTATTGCTGCAGCTTCCTAAGAATCTTAAACTATTTGAGGCCATGGAAACAAAAAAAAAAACATCTATATTTTAACATTTTGAATTGATTCAACTTAATAGAACTCACAGTCAGAGCTATCATCCCAGAAACAACACCAATCTTGATTCCCTTACCCAGGTTTGAACCACTGAAGTAAATTTTACGAACAGATGATGGATTGATGCCTTTTTTTATTTTCCTCACCTTGCATTAATCAGCATCGTAATTATCTTCAGTGAAATCTCATTAAGCTAATGAATTTTTCAGCACTAAAATAGTTTTTGTGTGATTAGTGCTTACAATCTGAACCCCATGCTTATCGGCACGTGTTACATACACGATTAAGGTGGACAAAATTACAGAGATCAACGGTGCAACTGCTGGTATCCAGAAGAGACTTCTCTTCTTCTTTCCCATCAAGTTCTATTTTAGTGCCACAAAGCTTAAAAATCCTTTTTTTTTTCCTTTTTTTATTCAACAATATAACATCTTTAATATGATAACTTACAATGTATCTTGCGAGTAGAAGAAATGCTAAGAAGCTCGCCCCAATCACTATCGTTTCCCAATTCCACTGCAAATTAAAAAGAATAATTACGAATTAAAATGATTTCTACGGAAAAATTTTTCCCGCTTGAAGAAAATGAACGCAACTGATTTCTTACACCATGATGTACAGAACCCCACACAGATTTCATAACAGATACAATGTCTGTTTCCTTTGTAAAGTTTTGTATGCCAAGAAATCCTTTCAGCTGTTGAAGCGCAATGGTAATTGCTGCTCCAGCCATGAATCCAACAATGGCAGCATGTGACAGGAAGTCCACCAGAAATCCTAATCTGAAGACAAGCAGTATTAGGGTAGCAGAGAAAGGAAGATAAGAAGAAGTTAGTATTTTATAACTTCACCTTAAGAGTCCAAGGGCTGCCTGAGTCACCCCTGCAAAAAATGTTGCAGTAAATGCCAATCTACGATATTCTTCTGCATTGAGCTTAGGATCAAACTCATCCTGAAGAAGTTTTCCAAGCAGCAGAGACACAACTGCCACTGGGCCAATAGCAATGTCTCTTGAGCTTCCCATAGCTGCATAAACCAGCGGCGGAACGAAGCTCGAGTCTGCCGGATGAACTCAAATTCAGCATAGTAGAAACTCACCAAATCCATATCAACTCTGAAACAAAATATTCACAACTAACAAAATGCTTACTTACATAGCCCATACTGTGGATCCAAATTTGCAAGCCTTGCATAACCGATGTCCTATTTCATCAAAACACAATTCAACATCATGCGCAACATGACAAAACAAAAAATTACATGATAAACTTCAGATTTAAACAAACCTGAGGGATGCAGAGGCTTGCAATGGTAAATCCAGAAATTAAATCTCCTCTGAACTTCTTGAGATTATACTCTCTTCCCCAACTGAGAATTGGAAAAAAGGACTGAAGTCCTAGCAAAAACTGCCTCGATCTCGGTTGATTCTTATAAGCGCGCAGAGGATCGTCGGCGAATAAAGTTTCCTTGGTTCTCTCAGTAAATTCATTCAAAAAATTTTTCTTTGGCGGGACGCCGACCTTATAAGCTGGTGGCAAGTTCTTGGGCTGCCAATCACCCAGGTCCCTGGTTTCATCATCACCAGTAACTGAATTCACCATCTTCAGATCTCTTCACCAGAAAGAGCAAGACTGTTGTTTGAATATTAATATACGGTGAAAAATGTATAAAAGAGAAAACTGGCTGCAATTTAATGTTGTAGTTTGTTTTCTGTAATTTATCAATTGCCTTGGCTGTTTTCGCACAGTTATGTGTGAAGAGGCATACAAGTCATTGTTTGCTGCGTGCAAGCTTTTAAAGTATGACTATATTGAAACATGGAACCCACCTTCCCGGCTTCAACCAGCAAGCGAGTCAAAGAGCGGAGACAGAGCTACCAATTTTCTGGCATTGAATCATGGAACCCACCTTCCTTCTCCCTCGGACGATTTGAATTGCAGTCTCTGATCGTCGGCTACATGAAAATCGAAATAAAATCAATCCGCTCTTTCCTTGCCTCTGCTTCCCTCCACAAGCCTATTTTCTGGCTTGCGTTCTGTTTCTCTTTTTCTGTGTTTTGCTTCTTTATATAAATAAACAAGGTGGATTTACGTATAAAAATTTTTTTATATATATACCCACACTTAAATTTGTATATTTATTTGCCAAAATTCAAACTTTAAATCACATTAAAATTATTATTATTATTAACTTGTTGATAAGGAAGCATATATTTTTATATCTATATTTTGATGTAATTTAAATATTCAAATTGTATTAAAATTGATACTACAACAATAAATTTCCACCACTCGACATAAATCTCGCTGTAATTTTTATGAGAAAGAAAATGTTCAAATTTTAATTAAAAGTCATCCAGAACTTCGATTTCACCAAATTTATAATTACTAAACGGCTCGACGAGATAGACACAATTCTATAAATTTGATCCAATTACGATAAAGTCAAGCACAAATCAAACTATTATACCACTTTTAAAAACTTTCATTGTCTAATTGGAGTGTCAAACGAATTTCAAATGCAACATGCTTATATTCCAGTCAAGTGTTTTGAGAAGAATAATCCAATGAGTCCAAGATCACTAAATTATGACATCATTAAGACATCTAAATGCTCACATAACACAGTATGATCGAGGGAACCACTCCAGACCGTTTAATCAAAGTGGTCTATATTTTTTTCTTATTTGTAATTTGGCCTCCAAAAATAGAGTCATACCCCCTCTTAAAATGGGACCTACACCTTTAGCTAGAAGAAAAATGGAGCTTGGAGAAGAATGAGCTTAAGCCTAGCATTGTTCTCCACTGAAGACCCGATAAACTCCTCCTGCTCCTGTAGCCATCGACGACCTTCGACCACCACTCGCAAATGATCTTCAATCACAATCCACTGCCACCTACTCCTAGCAACAAAATCCCTTATGAAGTTACAACGTGCGCTGCAAAATTCCAGCGTGTGTTGATGAATAACGAAACACCCAATAAAGTAGTGCATCCCTCAGTACGTCGTGCAACGACACGCCTCAAAAGCAGTGTATTCGTTCAAATAATTTTTCACAACTGCAACCACTCTTGGTCATTGCACGACAAACTTTTACCCCAAAGAATTATGCAGTCATTCTCGCTAGTAAGATAAGGACATATATGTAATCATCAATTCATAGTGGGATGTTCTGACTCTGCCAAACCCCTTAGTTTTTTCTCTTTCCTGCTTTTACGCATAAAAATTTTTGGTATCTTTATAGATTGTTTTCTTTTATTTAAGTTTGTGTTGGATTATCGTCGATCCTACAAAAATAATCATAAATTATTAAAAAAAAATGATTTTGGTGTATTTTTTTTAGAATTCGCTGTGAGGCTATTGATAATTAAGGTTTAAATATATTGTTGTAAAAAGCTCTCTTTAATTTCGCCATTTGTCAGATTTAATCAGTGCAAGGGCTGTTATGTAATTTATAGGAATACAGAGTTTGTGCTAATATTTAAGCGTGCGATGTAAGTTAAAGGAATACAAAATTTTCCACTATACCAATTATAATTCGTTGACTCTGGACATTCAAAAAAGTCAATGTCATCTAGGTACGTTGAACCTGGACGCCGTTCAGAATAGCGAAAGCCTCCTCTGGCTTTAAATGTGAGATTGAACGGATATGATTATTTACTTAATTTTTTAGTTAATTAATGGCTCCGGGACCTCCGCGTAACGAAATTGTATATACAATTTTATTCTTTGTGCGCCAGTATAAATAAATAAATAAATATATCACCGCCTTAATTATTATAATTAAATAGTAATTCTATTTATCAAAATATATTTCATCTACAGTTATTTATTAGATTGACAATTGATGCCTCAAAAAGAATTCGAGACAACTTGTGAATAAGAAATATTCTAAATCCAAATTAAAGATAGCTCTGATTTAAATAAGTTTATGGTCAACCGATCATCTCGATAAGACAAGACAAAACCAATGTTCCACAATTGGTTTTAACTTAGTCCAATCAATTCCAAATCATTCTATTAAAACACTTTTAGAAGTTTTGGATCATCAATTGAATGTTCAAATTAATTCTAAATTTGATATGCTTATTGTCAAATTATTCTTGACAAGAGGAATCCAACGAGTCTGAGTAATGTGGAGACCCAGACGCACCGAATTTAATTAGCTTCCTAATTAAGTATCACACCTACCGCTCACCTTCCTCACCCACCTACCACTCACATACCTCCCACCTACCGCTTTTCTAGTTTTCATAAATAGCCTCTTATGGCTAGTCATAAATAAGCCTCAAGTCAAGCAAGGTCAAGCCAAGTACTCTTGAGAGCTAAGAGAAAGAGATGAGAGAGAGAGAGAGAGGAAGGAAGAGAAGAAAATAAAGATTTTTTTGTAAACGTCGAGACGCTCGACTGTGTAATTCCTCGAAGCAGTAAAATCCTCTGCAACCCCGTAGATGTAGGCAATTTGCCAAACCACGTAAATATGTGTGTCGCTCTGGTGTTTTTCTGCGTACAATTTTTCTCGTTCCATTTTTCACTTTATTGCCGTCGTTTTTCATAACAACTGGTGTCAGAGCTTTGGTTCGGATCGAAGGAAGAACAATGGGTGGAGACGAAGTGTGACATCGGGGATTGAGAAGTTCAATGGCACAGATTTTGCTTACTGAAGGATGCAGATAGATGACTACATCTATGAGAAGAAACTTCATCTTCAGTTACTGGGAAAGCGACCATAAAAGATGGATGAGGCAGAATGAAATATGTTGGATCGATAGGTTCTATGGGTCATACGATTATCCCTATCGAGATCGGATGCCCACAACGTCATCAAGGAAAGGTCTATTGCAGATCTCATGGCGGCTTTATCAGGTATGTATGAAAAGCCATCGGCGAATAACAAAGTGCATTTGATGAAAAAGTTATTCAACTTGAAGATGGTGGAAGGTGTCTCTGTTGCTCAACACCTAAATGATTTCAATACTATCACAAATCAATTGTCGTCTGTTGAAATTGATTTTGATGATGAGATACGTGCATTGATATTTTCATTGTCAAATAGCTGGGATGTCAAATAGCTGGGAATTCATGAGAATGGAAGTTAATAGTTCTGTAGGTAAATCTAAGCTGAAATATGATGATATTTGTGATTTGATTTTGGCTGAGGAGGTGCGCAGGAAGGATTCTGGCGAGACCTCATGTTCAATTTCGGCACTGAATGTTGAATCCAAAGGGAGATCACATGACAAAAATTCAAATAGAGGAAGATCAAAATCAAAATATGGTCAGCATGCAACCTGTTGGAATTGTGGGAAGGCTGACCACATAAAAAGAAGCTGCAGGAATCCTAAGAAGAATGAGAATGATGGCCCTAATATTGTAACTGAAGAAATACATGATGCACTATTTCTGGCAGTTTACAGTTCTGTTGATGACTGGATACTGGATTCAGGGGTTTCCTTCCATACATCTTCCTATCAGAAGTTAATGCGAAATTATGTTGCAGGTAACTTTGGAAAGGTACATCTGGCTGATGGAAAAGCTCTGGGCGTGGTTGGGATGGGAGACGTTGATATTGCACTCCCTCATCAGAGCAAATGGACATTGCAAAAGGTCAGACACGTTCCTGAGTTACAGAAAAACCTCATCTCTGTTGGGCAGCTCAATGAAGGTGGTCATTCAGTGGTGTTCTCAGATAGCACCTGGAAGGTTACCAAATGAGCATTAGTAATGGCTCGGGTTAAGAAAACGGACACACTATATATGACTACAGGTTTACTCAGGCGTTGACACATGAGTTAGAGGTGCATTAAGAGGAAGCAGAAGAATGTCCATTTCCTGAAAAGTGGCAGAGCGCTAAAGGCAGAAAAACCGTACTTTGTACAGACAAATGGTGGAGAACCACAGAGTTATGAAGAAATCTTGCAAGATGAGAATTCGAGCAATTGGGAGCTGACCAAGAAGGAGGAGACGGATTCCCTGTCAGGGAATCATATTTGGGAGCTGGCAGAACTTCCACCAATGAAGAAGACATTGCACAAAAAGTGGGTGTAATGGATGAAGACTGCACTTGGTGACAGTAAGAGCTACAAGACTGGACTTGTTGAAAAGGGCTTTCAGCAGAAGCAGGATATTACTCATGCAGTGGGAGTTGTAAGCAGATACATGAGTAACCTAGGAAAGAGTTTGCCGGTACAATGCTACGTTGACGGTGATATGTCAACTGAGGGTGTTACTCGTGAGAAACTGAAATTATGCTCAACTTCAGCTGGTCTTCTGACATGAAGAACAGGGTTTTGAGTTGCAGAGGTGAAGGATATCATGTTTGAGGAAAAAGTCGGTACAGTTAGTAGATGATGCAGCTAGTAGGTGATGCATTCAGTGTTCCAGTCTCCAAGTGGGAGAATTGTTGGGTAATGTGGAAACTTATCCGACCTACCGCTCACCTACTACACCCACCTACCGCTCACCTACCACATCTCATCTATCATTCACCTACCTCCTCACCTACCGCTCTCACTAATTTCTATAAATAGCCTTTTATAGCTAGTCATAAACAAGCCTCAAGCCAAGCAAAGCCAAGCAAGGCCAAGCCAAGTCCTCTTGAGAGCTAAGAGAAAGAGAGGAGAGAGAGAGAGAGGAAGGGAGAGAAGAAAATAGAGATTTTCCTGTAAACGTCGAGGCGCTCAACTGTGTAGTTCCTCGAAGTAGTAAAATCCTCTGCAGCTCCGTGGACGTAGGCAATTTGTCGAACCACGTAAATCTGTGTGTCGCTCTGGTGTTTTTATGTGTGCAATTTTTCTCGTTCCATTTTTTACTTTATTGTCGTCGTTTTTCACAACAGAGTTTGCTTAAATTTAATATTATTAAGGCCCTTAAATCATTAAAAAAATCCCTATAATAAAGAGGGATCACTATGGCTCGTCTGATCAGATGGTTTTGAATGACCAAAATGCCCCTTTTTAAAGGCTATAAATAGATCCCCACTCTTCATTTGTAAGTTATTATGGATTGAAGACCCGAAGTTAACTCCCAGCC